TGGGTGAGGTTCAGTGGGGGAGAAGTACAAGTAAATCTAATAGTAAGTAATATGCCCCTTGTCTACTCAACCTAGACATATAGTCACTAATGTGAGATGAGGTAAAAGTCAATTACAACATGTCATCTAACATTGGGGTTCATTTCAAATGCAATAAAGAATTTGTTGCTAGCAAGGTTTTAACCTGCCAGCATGTCTCTTTTAACGTTTCTACTGTGCATTATGTGTGTGCAGGTGCTAGATATCTATGACTGTGCTATGAATCTGCTGAAAGTAGGACCATTTACGTATGATCCCATGAGAGGTGTTGACCTATGGTTATCTCAAGGGGATGACTTCATCCGACAGGTACAAGACTAATAGATCTACTGGGTTAATTGTTACTCAACCGTGAAGATTGGAAACGTACTGCTGACGGTTCACCTCTTATCAGGAGGCTTTCTAAAAGCTGACTGATGATTATCAGTTTTGACCACCAGATGGTGTGGTGGTCAATAGCTTAGTCCACACGTGACTGAGCCTGTATCCCCCCTCGTCACGGTTGATGTTCGGGGTTTTGCGGATCCAGATGGCCTCCTTAATCCAACGCCTGATTTTGATTGGCTCGCGATCGAAGATCTTCGAATTGAGTCAGTCAGTTTTGAGAAAGCCTCCTGATAGGACAGGAGGCGAAACGTAAGCTGTACGTTTCCAGTCTTCATGGTTGAGTAACAATTAACCCAGTTAGATCTATTAGTCTACCAACCGATTGAACTTATTTAATGAGTTAGGTACAAGACTCTATAACAAAAAATAGCCATGTATCAGCTTCAACGGCAATGAAAATTGAGACCAAAATATGACATGAACACTAATCTTGACTAGATTATACGTAGGGAATGTTTCTTTCCATTCTCGTTTATATATCATTCATTGCGTGAAGGAATTGTCCTCCCCACCATTAGTTTTGATGCTATTACATAATTAGAGCTGTACACATTGTCAGTTGCGGTGTTAGAGTCTGTAAGATATCGTATTAACTTGCATTATTAATGATCGTCATTATAGTCACTTCATTAGATAGATAGATAGATAGATAGATAGATAGACAGACAGATAGATAGATAGATATGGATAGATATTAGATAAATCAGTAGATAGGTATCATTTCTATTATTAATCTGATCACGAAAGCCGCACTGCTTGCAAACGATGGTATGCACTGTTTATTATGAAAATCATCGGATCACATTCACTGCAAGAAAGGTTGCACTGCTTGGGGTAGAGTTTTAATTTGCATTCTCTTTCTGTCTCCCCGTCTGCAGCACCTTTCCACGTCGCCGGAGGTGGAGCCTCCACACTTTGCAGCTCAAGTGCGCGCCTCACTAAAGCACATCCAGCAGCATCCGTATCCAGACGTGACGATATTCCCCGACAACAAGGCGCGGCTCTACCGCAAGGACGACAGCGGCCAGTGGATACGGATTCGGTGAGAAGCGCTCGTCATTGACCAATCACAGGACGTTCCGTGCACTGGTTGCATCATCATGTGGCAAGCACGTGTAGACAGCAAGAAGCCTTGCTCAGCAAGTAGAAGCCTTGATGAGCAGCGCCTTCTAGTGTCTAGTGACCGAGTAACTCGTCGGAGCGATCAAGTGGCGACTCCTGGTGGGATGTGAAAGATATTGCATGGCTCCACAAAAATTAAATCTGTAGGAGTGAAGCAGTTATTAATGACAATTGAAAAGAACTTGACCCCGCACTTTGATCTACCTACCGTTGCAAGTCACCAAATGAGTTCTGAGTCTGGGCTGTGTCAGCAGTTACGAATACGCTGTCTGAATTGTCAATGAAACCTTGTTTTATAAGGTGGATATCTCGACATGTGTTAATATCTCATAACCGACAGGTACCGAATCTGGTGTGCACAAAAGATATTTAGTGTCATACTTTGACAGTCATAGTAGTAATTCTGGTTAAATTTGATATTTCAGCCGCTTAAACTAAGATCTAATATTGAGAATGGTTCCAACTAGCAAAATAAACACTGCGGCGTGTGTAGTGGTCTCTTTTTGATGTCGTTCCACGTCTGCTGGTTAAGGTTTCAATCTGAGTGAGGTAAGATGTGTTCTTATGGCACAAAATGGTGCAGAGGTAGAACTACGGGCCTGTGCTGTAGTGCGTCCATCTACAACATGCACGACTGAACGTGTCTACGACATTCCGTCGTTCATGCATATCTTTCCAGGTAGTACCTGGTAAGCACGTACACATCCGTGTTTAGCAAAACTGCTGCGAACGGTCAGTGACAACATTAAATCTTTCGTTTTGTCCCCGATTTTGTTAGCTTATTGCTTACATCATGGTGAGTATGAGCTTACATTTATATGTTGAGTCTCCCTGAAACTAGATCACTAACTGGCCTATTTTGATCTAGGTGTATGCTTGTTAGACAAGTACTGCATTGAAGTTTGCTAGCAGAACATTCCATTATCATGCCGTTCGTAAGTTTGTGGATTTCTAATGTTGATGTAGAATGAACCATTTCAGTTGGAATATATGTTAAAATAAAGGCGATTACTGTAATATCTATGTAAATGGAAAAAAGGAACAATTTTTATTCTGGTCAAAGAATAAACTTCAATATCATATAGTAAGTATGACATAGAGCGTCAACTAAATATCATAGGAATAGGCAAGTGGTTGAAGTAAGAGTAAAGCACTACAGTATCTCAAGACTGTGTAGTGGTAGACAATATCAGGCCTAAGATACTGCAGTTAACTCATTGTAATAGCTTATTAGGTGCGGCTTCACCCTCCCGTTTGTTGGGTATGCAATACCGAGATTATCACAACAATATCCAGAGAGACCGGGTACAAGCAGGCGTTGTGCAAAAGATCCGTATAGCGGGAAGCGTAACATCGTGCAGTTTTCGTCACACATCGGCTCGGCTATGGTGGCCTTCGGTGGGGGCATTTGCTGCTGCTGCTGCTGCAGAGCCGCGCTGCGCGGCAGGGGCGAGTTTTTGTTGCTGGCGAGTGATCTACTGTAGCTACGTGTAAAAACTGGCACGGCCACACCACCCGTGCTCGCGTATTCGCCCGCCCACGCCAGCGCAGGTGCTCGCACGACGTGCCGTCGCCACGGGCAGCGCGGGGTCAATAGGTTGGTAAAACCTCGCACTGATGCAGTCAGGCGCCGGCACGGCGGGAGCGCGTTTGAAGATAGCATCTGCGCCACCCCACGTGGAGCGCCGTACGACACTTCGTAAAAAGCTCTGTGATAGACATAACTCTATACTCGGCAGTAGTGCCCGTCATCGCGTAGCGGCCATTGAGCGAGCGCGTCATCGCTGATTGACAGCATTTCTGGAATTTTCTTGTAGGAGCCACTACGTCTTAGCCATGAGGCGCGCCACTCCAAAAAAAGTTTAGGGACCGTTTGGAGATGGCCTCAAGCCGTCCATCCCGAAATGTCGGTTGGATTGCGCCCAGTTTTCGCGGAGTGCGTTTTCAGACCCCTGTCTCAGATATCTGTCTAAATGGACAAAAAGGGGGCGGCGTATTCGCTGTTGGGGCGCGGCTTTGCCGCGAGCTGTGGGCTGCGCGCAAAAACCGGGGCCGCAAGTCCGTCGAGACTTTCCAATCAATCGTGATGTTGTAGTTATGACAACTGCACAGTTTCCACGTACATTATATTGTCTCTGATACGCCCAACCTATACTAATAATTATTAATTAGATATCTCTCATTGCTGTTGATATTTCGGCTGACCCCCTTATTACGGGGGCTGCATTATTTGCTATCTGTACAGGTTGTCTTTATGTGTTGTTTGGAGAGACAATTTTTAATGTTTTGTACATATTATATCTATATACACATACATGCATATAAAGATATATATATATATCTATATATATGCAAGCTGGTGTTTTATATTTTGCTAAGTGCGTGTGTGTATCAGCTACCTCAGAAATATGGGCTGTCAACTAATCCCAGTCATACGTTTACCTCTAATCTTGGTGCATTACATGTGAAGATATTTTTAGAGTACTAATACGCATACTCGTAGTATTGCAAGAGCTATGCCACATGTACAGTGAAGCGGTTGTGAAGGGTGCTGATGGTTAGATTGTTGACAGGAATATATACCACAGCTGCTGTGCAGAACACAAACGGTAGGAGTTCGTTGTTTCTTTACAGAGTTGTAGCACGCGTGAGCTCATAATGCTAGCTAGAGTAGAGTTAACCATGCAAAAGGCTGAATATTTTATGGCATTGGTTGTTATAGGTAAAAACAATCACCATAAGAACAGATTCAGAATAATGCTACAATGTTGCACCTATTTAATTCACAGCAATGTAAGTTTTGCAAATAACGTTGTTGCCGATGAAATGTTTAAGGATCCTTGTAGCATTTGAACTTTGTATGTAGTTACTAGTAATTCTTAAACATTGTTTCAAATTCTGTGAGTGCACTAACTAGCTGTTCATCTGCCTACCTGAAAAAATGTTAAAAATGATAATATGGTCTTTATAAGCACTTAATATTAGCATATGCAGTATACAAAAAGTAGTTTAGAGGTGACGTAATTATAGTTATCTATTACAGCAATGACTAAAGCTGTCCTGTTTCTCAGGTTGGCAGCTCTGTGCTTCTGGATACAAGTGTGGGAACGCTATTAGTAGTGATAGTACAAACACCGAGTTTGTTTGTGCATTTGTCCAGGTGACATAATAGTGTGAATTTATTGAAGTTTTATCCAATATATAAACAAATAGTTGTGAACCTAATTACGATATGGCATTGGTGGTTGTATCTATTTTATTCAAAGCAAGGATATACACAACAACATGTTGTTGTGTATATATCCTTGCTCAAAGCAATGATTACAAAGCCTTTTTGGCACTACTATTGTGGATAACTTGTTGCATAGTAGAGGTCAGGGGATTTTGCTACACTCAACCTCATACGCGAACTACCAACAAAGTAATGTTGCCGATAAACCCAAGGTTGTTTACTGATCCTGTCTTACGTACACGTACACAATATGATTCATACCAGAAGTGCTTTTATTTCTATTATCTAGTTATTCCTAGAGTACTAGCTAGCATAAGACCCAGCAACCCCAGCTACCTTAAAGCATATTCCATGGATATATATACATCAGAATGTTAGATGTAGCTATCAGAAGTGTTCATACATATTACACACTTTTGTGAACCATAACCTCGTGTTTAGGATCAGCTTGGATCATGTGGATTAGCGAGAGTGGAACTTTCCGGCCGAGGATTGTTAGGCCGTGACTTTATGTTAATGGCTTCTTTAAGTTCTGCCGTCCTCTTCTTGTCTAGCACCTCCATCTCTCGAATTTTCTGTAACAAAGGCACGTCACTTGTTGTCATACCCGACTGGTTCGCTGTGATAGGGGAACCTACCTAAACAATTTCGACCTTGCATAGCGTCGTGACATAGCATAATTGTCTATTGACTGAATGTAGAAATATGTGAAAATAAAACCAGCAATAACTATGGGTCATAGCCCTTGTGACAGTTCAGGACTATTGTGTAGTGAGCAATGATCACATATTGCCTTAGCTAGACCAGCATTTGTTATTACACAAGCTACTTGGTTCACTTTAGATGCCCACGCACAAGAGAATGCTTGTGATGGAAAATTCTATATAGCACAACAGGCCAGAAATTCAACAGGCTGAAAATCATTGGTGTACTTACTGCTGAATTTAATATGACACTAAACACTTATTGAACTGTCACAGCAAAACTTTACCAAATGGCACATGGCAGCATATTACCATGGATATTTCCGCATTGATTGCAGCACTGTATTTGCTACGCTGGCCTAGATGCTGCATGTCTTCCAGGAACTCCCGTCTCTCCTTGATTTCTTCTTCCACTGAACAGAGACATGTGAATGGCATCAGAAAGAGATACCACTGCTAACGGTTCAATAGGGTGATAACACGTTTATTTTGCAAGCCAACGTTCTGAACTACTATAGAAACATTATTAATTTCATTTATAAGAAGTTTTGCATATGAACTATTATAAATGCAGGAAACTGATTTGATTAATAAACAAACCACTAGCATGGCTATTTTTAGAGACGGCAAGCAGTCCAACAGCATCCATTTGGTATACTATGTATGCTTTGCAACTTAATCTGTGTGAAATTGAACTCTAACTACGCTCAATGAATTGAGCTCTTACATTCCTCAAATCTATCATTTCCTAATTGAGGTTCAATGACAGGTTTTGGTGCAGACTGCGGAATGCTATCTTGTCCATATGTCATGAGGTTTTGCAATCGCTCCTTCTCCTTTGCAGAGGAGGCTACTGTTAAAAAGTATAAACAACAACTTTAGAAATTAGTAGCAAGTAGTAGTGACAGCAATGATACTACTAACATGGTTTGGTATATAGAAGGTACATATTTACTTTCAAGGTAATAATGTTAAATACTGTTTTGTCTAATGATCCTATCAACAAACAAAGATTTTCAAACAGTTCATTTAGCATGATTTCGACAAGATGGTTGGGTCACAGAAAAATTAAAGAGAAATCATAGAAAGATGTTCATACAATATCTTTCTGGTATGTAAGGATCCCTCTCATAAGCACCAGATTGCACTATTTGTTCTTTAGTCCTGTATGTTGGCCTCTGTATATGTGGCTGCCTACTTATTGTAACCTTCTCTCTATGCTTTGGCTTCTCATCACGCAAAACGCAAGTGATTGGTAGACTATCTCCATCTGGAAACATTTATATGGATATTCAATCTTAGTTACCATTTTACCATTGTCATGATTGATCTGCAGAGCAATACCACACACACTCACAGAAGCATCCGGATTTACAATGCTTATACAATTTTCCAATAAATGCTTTTCTCCATGAAACAAATTTACGTGATGATCTGAGACATGAGCCTCTATTATGGTCCAGCAGTAAAGGCACTTACTTTTGATAGTTTTTGTCAAGTGCAGCTGCAATAAACTGTTTAACTTGGATTCTTCCATCATAACTGAAAGTGAAACATCACCGTGGGAATTCATTCACTAAATGAATAATTAACCTATTTGAATAAAATCTAAAGTAAAATAATTACCTAAGTGGGCTTATGCGATATGATAGGCATAACAGTTTAGGTATTAATACTTGCAGTGTACATTGACCTTTATATAACGTCGTTATATTGACATATTATGTTGACGTTTCAGTATAACATGCTGAGAGGGTCTATGTCCTCCAGGGTACTGCCGGCTCCTTAACCCTAACCATAACCATATCAAATAGCTACCAGGGTACGTTCCGGCAGTACCCTGGGGGACATAGACCCTATGAGCATAACTTATACGTAATATAGCTTATGTGGCCACGCAGCCTGTTCGGGTTAGTATTTGTCTGAGTTTGAATACTTTAGTGCTAACGTACTTTAAATTTAATCAAAAAGTGTGCAAGTACCTTTTAGAAGTCTTTGTGTTCCTTGGCTATATGTTGTTGCCGTCCGCGGATTGCCACGTGTCACATTTTCTCGCCTCGCTTTATCCATCGTGAACGCAAATTCCCTAACCTACCTGCAATGGAGAGCATTGTTGGAGTCATAGATAGGCCTACAATCACTGATACAAACGCTGAAGGGGTCGTTGTCGTATCACTATCAGGTACTACAGAAGTGTACCCTACCTAGCCCTAGCCTAACCCTTAACTGTAAACCTAAACATACCTCATATAACAAGTGCGCGGAGCACAGCGCTCATCTACGTCTACTGCGGTGACTCTGTGGTGGAGTGGTGGGATTCTAGTAACCCTGTTAGTCCAAATGTGTTCACATACGCGCCGAAACAGTGGAAGCACGGGGATGGTATCAGGAACCTTCTCAAAGGAATGTTCGTTGGGATTGTTATTAAAGTTCCACAAGATGGCTGTACGTTTAAGTGTCTTAAGATTAAAGATGGAAGCTCGATCCCATCGTACGTAGTAGCAACAACTATTTGCAGAAGAATAGGTAAGCACTCATCCATTTACCTACGCAAGCCTACAGGCTGAAATAGAGAGCTGCCACTGTAACTAATGCTCAAGGGATCGTTGTCGTATCAGGTACTACAGAATATGTACCCGAGTACATATATGTATACACAAAGTGTAGACTTGTACTACAGAAGTGTACCCTAACCTAACTCTACCTAACCCTAAACATACCTCATATAAAATATAAAACATAATACTAAACAACCTAAAACTACTCGCGGTACATATCTGTAGTACCTGATACGACAATGACCCATCTGCGTAACTAATTAACGCAGGCAAAACTACACAGTACTATCACACCACATGCCACTGGCAGTGCCACTGGCAGTGGCATAAGTTACATGTACACACATGACAGTACAGAATGCCATAAAATTATACGATTTAAGGAGCATAAACCTTCTTCAACCAAATTTAGCTTTGAATTTCACTGTGACATTGTAGCCTCATACATTTAGGCATGTATAGATTCTACTAGCACCCGACAGTCAAATTCTTTCTACAGTAAACAATCCATGTTTAACCCTCCTCTGGGGTCAAAGGTATTCCACTCTTACTCTTTCGCATGTCAGCGGAATGTACATTTCATGGTCCTTTCAATAAAGCATAAAAATGGTAGGTCACTGCTAAAAAAAAAAGTTTTTCAATCGCTCCGTCAGACCATGTCCTCAGAAAATGTCTAAAATCTGCCCTGTGCCCATTGACCTTTGATATGTGACCTCCAATTTCGGCCAGCGATGGCTTTTCAGTTTTCCTACCATGATGTGATGCTATACATATAATTATACACGACTATCACGAGCTATAGGTCGAGCCGTTTAGATTTGTGCCGCAATTCTGCATTTCCTCCTATACTTAAGTTAAGGAGGGACACCTCTTGACCTTTGACCCCAGCTTCGACATCCCAATCGTTTTCGGATTTACCCCGCCCCCCACGGTCCGAATATCGTGACGTACGATCGAGGCGCGTCAGATTTGTGTCCAACTTGATTGACGAGGCCCGGACGGACGGACAATCATGCCGATTCTCATAAGCTGCACCTGTACTACGTCAGACATGAGCTAAAATATAACATAATACTAAACACCTAAACTACCTCGGATACATATTCTGTAGATGACTGTGGACTGCTAGTAAAACTAAGGCTGTCTGCTCCTGCGACGGTACCGTCGCGATTATTTTTCTCTTAAAGTACCGGACTGCGGTACTGACGCTGATTCGGTTTGAGCTGTTTTCCTTGCATATACATAGCACATCCAAAATTTTAATTTTTTCAATATGTGCCAGCAGACCGCAACGGCTAGTTGCCGCTTGCCCAAGTTATGAATGGTCGCAGGGATCAACATCCCATCCGTTTTTCTAATTATTTTCCTGTTTCTGGTCATTTTCATATCTTTATCTGTTAACATTTTTTCCAATTACGCAAAATTAACATTATTTATTTACAACATTTTAATAACAACAATTAATTTTTACAACAATTAAAAATTAATTTTATTTTAATTTATAGAGTGGTTTAGGCGCTTTTTAGCGTTAGTTAGGGTTAGGCGTCTAGGGTTAGGGTTAGGGTTAGGGTATATGGGTTATCAGTATTATATCGTATAAATCGTATATTATATATCGTAATCCAAAAGCAACCGGTAGTTATTATCGCCGATAGATTGGCGCTGTGCCATCATACCTGAGTTGACGAAGAAAAAATTCGTCGACGGTACCGTCGCAGGAGCAACAGCAAAAAACTAAAACTTAAAGGCCGAAATCGTACAGCATTAAAAGCTTGCGTTAACGCCTTTGCATGTCCATTTGCTTAAATCCGAATACAGAGGATCCCAATTGAGCTTGTAGTACTCCCACATGCAAATAGGTGTCCTTATATAGGTTAGATATAAGGGTTCCTCCTACATAAATTATTTGGCTTTAACAGCAGAGTAGATAAGCCACTTAACTTACAAATATTTGGGTGTTTTCGGCTTGCGTGGCGTGTGTGCGCTCTGTTTGTGTGCGGA